GAGCTGCCCATGGTTGCCCTGGAAACCTTCCTCTGCATCCTGAGCATCTAAAGGAGTCTAAAGTTCATCGCTCACTTAGCTGCTTCTTAACAATGCAGGGTCTTGGTTCCCCCACCCCAGAGCAGCCTCCTGTCTGACACGTGCTGCTGCCCAGGGCTCCAGCTGTCTAGAAGCCACATGGCAGATGTCTTTGTTTGTATAAGATGATTTAGATTTCTCTTCTTGCATGCCAGTTCTCTGCTCACTCTTGTATCTGGGCTTCCTTTTACCACCATGCTCCTTCTTGAAGTATCTTTTTACATGATTATTTAGTGAAGGGTGGTTAGTGGTAAAATTCTCTGAATTTTATCTGACAAATGTTTATTTAAACTATAAAATAGCCTTCTAGTTGTGGTGGGGCATGCTTATAATCCCAGCCTTTGGAAAAGACAGAAATATGGGGGATCAGGAGTTCAGGGTCAGTCTGGGCTATATAGCAAGTTCAAAGCTAGACTGAATTACATGTGAGCCTATCTTTATAAAAAAAAATAACACCCCAAATCTCCCACAACAAACACAAAATAATCAACCAAAAGCTTCAAGTCAGGATACTAGCTTTCTTGTTGCTCTGACAGAAACGCCTCTATAATCAACTTAAACGAGGGAAGATATACTATGGCTTCCTGTCTCAGAGGTGTCTGTCTACGTTCTTGGTACCAGGCTTTGGGCAGGACATCATGACAGGAACATTTGATAGAGAGGCTGACAGGAAGCCAAAAGATAGAAAGGACCAGGGGCAGCTCCCCAGGACCTGCCACCAGTCCTCATTGCTCCATTCCCATCCCCTAAAGTTTCCAGGAAAATCCCCTATAGTGCTACCCGCTAGAGACTGACACTTGGGGGGGGGGGTAACCTTTATCACCAAACGTAAGTGTAGTGGTACCCACCTGGTACCTCAGAACTCCAGAGGCCGAGGTGTGAGGATAGTGAGTTGAGCTACCCAGCATGACCATGAAACAAGAAAGCAATACCAAGGGAAGTGTTACATTTGATTAATAATAGTTGTGTTTTAGAGGTACCAGGGAACCTTTAGATACACAGTACATTGTAGAATAATTAAACAAAGCCAATCAACTTTTCATCCTCTCAAGTTTTCAGTGAGGACATTTAAAATGCTTTATCTTACTAATTTAAAAAATATATATTGTATTAACTATGGTCCTGGGCTGTGTAACAGATCTTAATGACTTACCCTCCTGTCTAAGGGAAACTGTGTCTCTTGGTGCCTAGCACCTGGTCTTCGCCATTCTCTCTGCTTCTCAAATGAGATCCTGCACACATTCCGCTCCTCAGCATCCTGCCAACACTTGTGCTACCCATCTTTCTTGTAATCATCATCCTAATTGATGTCAGGTCACATTTCATTATGGCCTGAATAAGTGTTTCCCTGGTAACCAGTGATGTTCAGTATTTTTCTGCAAACCTGGAAACTGCCTGGATGCCTTCTTTTGAGCAGTGCCTACTTAGAATCTTTGTTGATTTTCAGTCAGGCTCTTTGATTTCTTGCTACTAAACTGTTCTTTAAACTGTTGGTTAGCTGAAAAATTTGTTTTGCACTTAATTTTGGGGAAAACGGTGCACAAAAGCCTGAGTTGGTTTTTTTTTTCCAGAGCACTATAAAGATACTATTTCATTCTCTTTGGTTTTGATAGTCCTGCCACCAGATTCATTAGAATTATCGCTTTCATTTTTTTAGATTTTCCTGTCTTTGGTGGTCTGCAATTTCACTGTGCTCTGCTTAGATAAACTGCCATTTGTTATTTTAGGTATTATACATTAGAATCTTTACCCACATTTACCTTTCACCAGTTCTGACTTATTTTAAGTAGAATGTCTCCAAACACCAACTTTGAGGTTTCAATTAGACTTTCCTTGGCTCTCTGCATACAGTTTTTGGTAGTTCTTTTACGTGTCTCGACTTACCTCTTGTGTTACATTCCTGATTACTTCTGGGCAGGAGCTCTACCACTGAACTACAAACCCAGCCTTTCTTGATGATTTCTCTAGATTTGTCTTCCAGTTCATAAATTCCCTCTTCATCTTTGTCTAATTTGCTGGCCAACTCTGCAGAGTTTTTCTTTTTTAAAGAATAACTTTGTTAAGATATAACACATTACATAACATACAATGCACTCTTTATTGGATACATTTTCAATAAAGTGACTTGTAGTGTATTAACAAAGTTGTGTATCCATCATCATGATCTAATTGTGGGGCATTTCATTACTACAAAATGAAATTTTAATCATTTCGTTTATTAATAGTGTCCCAAACCAGTCATTCTCGCTCCCTCCCTCCCCCATATTTGGCTAATCTTTTTTGTCTTTGTTGGATTTTTAAATTTTGGGCATTTCACATAAATAAAATGGTTTTTTGTTTTGTTTTTGTTTTTATTGTTTGTTTGCTTGGTTTGTTGTTCCTGTTCCTTCTTTCTTGGTAACTGACTTCTTTTACTGAGAATACTTCCAAGGTTTCCCTTGATCTTTAATCATTTAAGTTAAGTTTCATGGTTTTCTTTCTTTCATATAAACTTGCTGTTCAACTTGTGGTTATATGGTCCTTCTTTAACATGTCTTTTTTCTCTTGTTTTAAAATTGATTTTATTGAGCTATATATTTTTTCTGTGCTCCCCTCCCTTCCTCTCCTCTCCCCTTTCAGCCCTCTCCCATGGTCCTCATGATCCCAATTTACTCAGGAGATCTTGTCTTTTTCTACTTCCCATGTATATTAGATTCATGTATGTCTCTCTTAGGATCATCATTCTTGTCTAAGTTCTCTAGGATCTTTAGCACATCTTAATAAGAACATTATCTTTGTAGTCTAAGATCTCTGTGTAACTCTTTGGTTTGATCTCTGTGTAACTCTGGTTTGCTAGCATTGGAGGTAAATCTAGACAGGCTTTTCCAAGTGGTGGTCATGATGAACTGGGTTCACGGACCATTCACTCGCCGGCCTGCAGCCCTCTCTCTGCATCTCCACAGAAAACACTTACCTAGAAGCCTCATCAGCCAACTCTACTCTGCGAGAATTCATACTAAGGCTCATTCTCCGACCTGCACAGGTTCTGCCCACACCTGTCCTCTGTCCAGCAGACTGGTTTTGGACTCCATTATGGTATTGACTCGTTGGAAGAGAATTGTGTGTGAACTAATTCTTACCCTCTGCACTCTCTTCATCTAGATCCTTTCTTCAAAATGTCTAGTCCCTCTCTTCTTCAGCACTCGGAACTACTCAAGTGCTCGGGATGTTTGGTCTCATTATTGGCATGTCACCTAGGGACTGGTGCGGCACTGAGCAGGAGGCTCTGACTGTGTGTTCGCCTTACCTGTAACTTAACACTCAGACAGCAAGCGATGTGCTCTACACTGAAGTAATGCATATGCAATTTAGAATAAGGAGAACAGACACTATGCGCTCAAACTGACAGTCCAGGCTGCCACGTCTGGTAAGGATATGATATAGTGACAGTCATTTGTCTGGTGTAAGGTTCGTGGGCAGAGCAGACAGAAACCAAGGTTTGCCTAGGTATGAAACGGAGCAATGGTAGCTGTGGCTTATGCAGAGCCCAGGAGAGATAGAAGGACCAGGTGGAGCGCGAGGTGTGAATCTGGCCAACCCAGACCAGGATTGTCACCTTCTGGGTGTGGGTGTGGTTGGTGACAAAAGTCCCTGGGGCTGGGTTGCTGGTGGGCATCGTGGGCGCTCTTAGGAGTGGAATTGACTGGAACAATCGGAAGCAAGGTGGAGGTTGGAGAGGGAGGAGCCCCAAGGCTGGGCGTCTGAACCCCATGACCGACCACTATTTCCCTCCTTCGCTGCGTCTTTGTGCATTTCGCTTCCTTTAGCAGCCAATGCTCTTCCGAGAATCTGCAAGGGGACCACGGCCAAGCAGAGGGGGAGGATCCTCCCACGCCGAGTAGGGAGG